TGTCGTCATCTGTAACATATACTTCCGATCTCCTATCACGCATCGCTTACCGCCGTGGGTTCGAAGTGTCTTTTTGGATGTGAGTGTCGCTAAGTAATAATTTCAGAGCTATTTTCAGAAACTTATATACAATTCGTGAGGTTTCTGCCAAAATTTCGCAGTGGTCAGATTAATGGGGAGTGTTTCGAGAGTTCCCGAAGGAGTACTGTGTAAGGGCATCAGCTTCCTGTATGCGCATAACATATCCAGTTTGTCCAGTGATATCGCAGTCCTTCGCTCATCTTCGGCTCTTGTGATTCATATTCCAAAAAGATGGAACCAGGCGTCCACAGAGACCCTTAGCTTGGAAGGGGCTTTAAAGGCAAAATTTGGTACAAGCTTCGAAGGGCTTCTGCAGCGAAGTAGCATTCTATCTTGAAGAAGTAATTGTCGATAATTGGGAGATAGTTCATCCATTATGGGTCTGAATAAACAGTGAAGAGGGAGCCGATACGTCATGTGCATACACCTGGATGGTGTCCTAAAATGGAATTTCTGTGGAAACTTTGATCTTATCTCGGAGAACATCTAGACGATGCAAAATTTTTGGCTGATACTTCTCGATCGCCGCGATATTAGCGATGTCAGTGAATTTTAGTGGTTACCGCTTCTGATGTGCATGCAGCGACCGAGACGTAAGAACATCCTGCATCAGAAAAAGAAGAAGCTGGAAACCAAATCCAGCCATCAGCTTACGACAGAAAATCATCATCCCCACTGCAAGGCCGCCGACAATGCTAGGTGAGCTACTTGCTACAACTCAACACTGTCATCCTTTTTATGAGCGCTATCTGCTCCTGATCTGTCTTTTTACTCCTAAGTGTAGATTCAGACGAAGTGCCTTCAAATGAATCGACCTTCAGTGAAGCTGTTGTCAAGTTTAGCGCTCTAAATAAAGAAGCTCAAAGATACAGCCCTTGATAAAGTGGTTTCTGAGAATCTCCGCCAGTATGAGATTGTGGTCCCCAAAAGTAGTACATTTGCCGTTGTCGAGCCAAAAACTTCTTAGACAGGGCGTAATGAGTGCTCTAAACCCGGTTCGACCGACGCCGACAGTCAAAGGGGCCTTGTTATGCCGACCTTATTTTTATTGCACTATTCACAGGACAACAGGATAGCATGCTTGGATGTGAGGCACGCAGAGACCATGTCGTACAAACCTTTTTCTGTCACCTTCCTGAGATGTTGTTTCTTTCATCCAACGATTTTGTGCTTTCCTCGTCTCCCTTGCACTATACTGCACCATGGCTTCAGTTATTACGCTCGCTGAAAATTGATACCTAAAAATTATCGTGACAACAATTCAACTCAGCTGGTCTCGAGTTGTCCGGAAATTGCTCCATTTTACTTATAATGATGTAATTTAAGCTACTTAGCTTTAAGATGTAAAAGAGTTCCCAGTGATTGCTTCCTGTATTCTTTCATACTTCAAACAGACATATATACAAGTTCCCTCCCTCTCCAGAGATGGTGCTCCATTGATTCGAATAAGACATCCGTCGTGCGACGATCTTTCACCAGATGCTCAACGAGCCGTCGATGCTATCGAGTTCATTACAGAAAACATGAAGGATGATGAAACCACGAAACAGGTTCGCTTTAAGAATCTTCTCACAAGTCAACTCTTATTGGAATGAATTTTTCTAAAACATAAAAAACAGTGGAATAAGTGCTAACCAAGCCTTCTGTTCTTATTAATCAGGATCTGCTGCTCGGTATCAGACTCGTTTGGGAGGGGATTAAAAGCGCTGTATTGTTCATTTGATGACCGCCGCAAATCATTGTACAGGCCACATAAACATTCAATATGTCACTACGATTTTGAAGTGAAGTCAGATGTGAGAGCACATCCCTCACATGGGATTGGATAATGCCCGAGACTTTTTTAAAATCATTTTATTTCTGTTTTTGAGTTGGTTGAGTTTACTATAAGCTAGGAGGTTTCATCGAAGCCGTTGGTGATTTGTACATACATACAGTGATGGACAAGGTAATAAAAGGTCGATCGTGCTACAATATTTTGTTGTAGTGCATATCATAAATTACTTTAATCTCTACTAATTTGAAATTTAATATTGTTCCAAAGCATGTTAATAATTTTCTAAATGCCTAATTACTTTTTCTTCAGTATCGAGACGATTGGAAATTCGTAGCCATGGTAGTGGATCGTGTTCTTCTCTATGGCTTCTTTGGAATCACCCTAGGAGGGACGATAGGTGACGTCGAATTCTATTCTTCAGAGGCTATTAGTCCTCTTCTCTGTCATACTGTAGATTACCGTACTTTTTAGGGATTCTATTCTCTGCGCCCACAGTCTTTGAACGAGTCGACGAGCAAAAGCATTTGCAGAAGCTTATTCAACTCTACAAACAGGGTCTACCTGAAAACGACACGTTTACTTCACTATACTGATGATTGTCCTGGTCGCAGTAGTTTCGACGTGCCTTCAGAGGAGATCTTTCATCTCTTTGAGAAGTTTGTTAGGCACTGGGAGCTCCGGGTGCAGTCGATTTGAAGTATGATGATTACGGTGCCTTTTAATTGTAAGCTATGAAGGACGTTGCACATAAGTATGACGCTATTGCACATAAGTGAGACATAATTGTATGTATACAATATGGAGTTGGTTGGTCGGTATGGGGTGGGTTTGAACATATTTGAAACAATTACATTTCAACAACGATGCGAGGGTTTCCAACTTCGTTACTTGAACTGCTTTTCAACGAATTTCAATGTTTGAGGAACCGTGAAAGACTTGTGAGTTCTGCAAATCGATATTCTACGCCCTATCCATTTTACGGTTTTGTTTGTACGTAGTTTTAGCAGTAGTTAGTTCGAGCAAGGTGATTTCCACAGAGCCTTCCGGTCGTTTCGAATAGCCAAAGGATTGTACTTCATGAGAACTGGAGGCAATAATATACATATTATTTCATTACGTCTCAACTTCACGACAATAAAGAATTTATTTACTGTTATTTATCTACTGTTTAAACTGTAAACTTGTTCTTCTAGACCTTTCAGTCCCACTTTACTTGTCCACATTTTGGCCTTTGTTTTTCCCATTTTTGAGCAACATGGAGGCGCCACAGGCCCCGAAAAATACTGCAATATCATAGAAGCTCCGGCGACTTCGAAGAGCTCCGTAAAGTTTCTCTACCCCTGGGACTTCAACACAGCAGAACGACAGGATTTGGATCTAGTATATTGCCAGAAAAGAAGACTATTGC